TACTCATTCAAAAATGTAAAGGGCTCCCTTTTAATCCATACAAGTCAGGTTAATTAGCCATCATAATCAAGTAAGCAATCCATTAAATCCATCAATCCAACATCAAACTATATTAAGATAAGACAAACAATTTACCACTTCAATCGTAGTTTTACCTTCTTCATTTTCCTCTCCACCGTGGGAGACAATCAAGCCAACAAAGCTTGAATCAACATTTACAAAAAATGCCAAATTTGGGAAGAAAAGAGATGGTTCTATATCTTCTCTATTTGGATTGTTTGTTGTTAATCCAAATAATCTCAGACTTAATTTTGCTTAGACAGTTACAATGGCCAATTTTTCTTCAATGACAACTTCCAAATATTTGTCATCCATGGTTTGGTTCAACCTCCTCTGACTCTATCTTTGAAATAAAACAATTCATACTTTGCTTATCAATTCATAGTTGTAAATCTTATCCTTACACCAGATTTTGCTTCAATATTATCGGAAGGTAACTCATCAATGACTTGAATAGCATAAACTTTTGAGTTGACACATCTCTATTTGATTTTTTCATAAATGGTGCAATATGGTGGAGATTTGATGACACCTTTAGCTTCCATTCGCATCTAATCTGAATTGTTTGCTTTATCTCCTATGTTGGCCATTTGATTTATTTTTCTTTGAGAATATACTGGCACACAAGTCCTTTCAACGCGCTTTTATCCTCAGTCACGCGCACCCTGGGAAGGGGGTCACCCATCTTAAAATTATTTTAGAGCAAGCACACTTAACTCTAAAGTTCTTTTAGTAGGGCTCCCGAAAAGAAATGTGCACATTGTTGACATGGGTAGTCTATTCAATCCATTTTAGTTACTATTCAACCTTGGATGGCCTGACACTGGCTCATCAACACACGGGAGTTGGCCAAACAACGGCCCAATGCCGGGGGTATCATATCCTCCTCCACTTTAGAATGAAATGTCCACGTTGCACCATAAGTATCGTCAACTGCTAGGCCCTTCAACAGTCAGGTCAACGACTGTGGGCTGTTGCATGTCGGCTTTGATACTAACTATGACACCCCGGCCGCAAGGTAAGGGAAGCCGAACATGTCGGGATCGTAGACTGGCCTCACAGGTCAACACGAATCATTTCAGCGCGCTTCTGTCCTCACTCACGCGCACCTTGAAAAACTTCACATTTCAGTAGGGCTCCTGAAAAGAAATGTGCACATTGTTGACAAGTGTAGTCTATTCAATCCATTTTAATTATTATTTAACCTTGCATGGCCTGAAACCAGCTCATCAACACACGGAAGTTGGCCAAACAACAACCCAACTTCAGGGGTATCACAAGATGACTATTTTTTTCCAAAAGTCTTCTGATTTCACTTTCGAACATTCGGATTTTCTCTGATTTCTTATTCGAAGTATGAAGCAACTTTTCATATCTTTAAACAAGTTTATCATTCATAACGGTGAACTTCTCATTAACCTCAATCAATGTTCCATTCCTCTTTTACAATTGCTCAATACACGCTCTGAGTTTTTCATTTTGGGATATCAAAAAATTTTGCTCAGCAGCCATTACCTCATAGATCTCAATCAATTTTTGATAGGTTATTTCTATAGTATCTTTGTCATTTTCTTTCTTGATATTTTCTTTATCTTTAAGTGTGAGTGCAACTACTTCATTTTCTTCATCACTTTAGGTTGCATACACTATTTTATTTTCCATTTTTTTAAGTCATTGCACACTCAGATCGAATATGTCTATATCCATTGTACCCATAGCATATTAAATTACCAGGAGTCACAAGTTTCTTCGACAATTTAAATTTATTCGACGTATCTCTTTTATGAGTTTTTGAGTTTGCTGGAGCTCCAAATTTTTAAGCACTCTCTGCAAGTCGTCTATCAGTCTGACTGCCATTCCCTCGAACCTGACGAGTTTTTCTTTCCTGAAACATCCGACACAATTTTTTGAAATAAGAGATAGCTCATCATCGCTATTTCTTGAGGTTTTTTCCTCGATGATAAATGTAAGTTTTTGTTTGGAATTGGGTTTGGTATAGTTCATTTCATAGGTTTGTAGAGTCTCGATGAGAGCATTTAGGGACATCGTCTCACTTTTCTCTAGTTCTTCAAGTGTCGAAACCTTAGGATAAAACTTTTCAGATACAATCCTCATCATCTTAACCACAAGTTCCCTCTCCTCATAGATTGGCCCTAGCATGTGTGCACGACTTACAACTTCCTTGAATATGTTACTGCATTCAAAAATCATCTTGTCATCCTTTATCTATATATTATCGAATTTTCTTTATACCATTTGCAACTTGGATAGCCTAACCTTATCATCCCCCTTGAATATAGCAAGTAGTGCATCACATGCATCCTTAGCAACAATACATGTTGAAATAATTTAATAAAGTGATTGGTCAACTCCATTTATGTTGGCATTTATGACTCTAAAATTTTCATTGTAGATAACTCTTTCTTCTGGGGTATATTGAGCTATTAGTTTTTCGACAACAATCGTGAGAATTTGACCTTCTCCTTTAGCTCCCACTTCAATCATAATCGTTTTTCAAGGAAGAGTCCACTCATTTACTATTGAATCCCATGTGTTTTCTCCAATTGATATGATAAAAACTTCATTTTCATCTTTCAATGTTGATAGTTCTTCCTATGGAGTAGATGAGGTCTCGTAATTGAGTTGTCCTTTTCTGCCATAGTTGTGGATCGCTTCTTAGAATATCAAGAAGTATGCTTTGATACCAATTGTTGGTCCCAAATTCACTTAATCAAATAGAAAACATATAATAGCATTAAAACTTTACTTAGAAAGATTAAGCCACGGACATATTTTGAATTCACGCAAACAGGCCGTTCACGAAATGATCAAACAACACACATACTTTGTAAGATGTAAGCAATACACACATAAATGTTAATCCATTTCGGTCATAGATAACCTACATTTAAAAAGTTCTAACTCAGGCAAGATCACACTCAATTAAAAGCAAATCAAACTTACTATAGAGCTGTATCAATTCTACCTCAAGAACTCTAATCCTACATTTCCAAGTTTGCATAGCTAGCCATCAATACACTCCCCAGTACCGCCATATATCCCTTATCCAGCTAATCATCACCAAAAAGTTACCTATTTTTCTTATTCCTATTATTCTTGTTTCATGCACCAACATTATTTTCATCAATGTTTGTCCTACAATATACGCTACACATTTTGTTGCAACATAATTTTTTTACTTGGGAGCCAACTGAAAGATTCTCCACTTTGCAAAGCTGGGTCTTCCATCGATCAGATTTGATTACATCAACATTTGGGCATCAGAATTTAGACTACCTTCTTGACATTAGGCTCAAAACTACAAACCCATTTGTAAAAATTAACCAAAACATAAAATCTACTGCCGACACTATATACTCATTCCGTTCGGCTTTAAGGGTCTCATTTACCTTTTACGTCATTATATTTAACATTAAAAATATCCTTATATTTGTATAATTTTTTACAAAAATTTTATTATAAGAAACTAATAGAAGTATTTTTTACTTTTTTTTCCATAATTTGTACTACGTTTTCATATAATAATTAATATTCAAATATTAACACGCAAAAAGTAAATGAGACCCTTAGAGCCGGACGGAAGTAATATATATTAACAAAAAGAGATCATCGCATAAAAGATGGTTTGGTGGTGCGAGGGTGAACTCGTGACTGTGAGGTCATAAATATTATATATTGCATCACTTGTTTGAACATGTTGTAACACAACTTAAGTATAACAATGAATAATATTTTTTTTGTTAATTTATTGAGATCGCAATTTGATTTAAAATTTTAAATATTTGTTGATCAATTAGAAGAATGAAGATCTTATTAAATAAGTTTAATTATTTAAGACACCATCTATTGCTATTTTAACTCAAATCTAATATAACTATGAGTAAAATAATAAATTTTAATGTTTAATTATACATTAAGAAACTATAAACCCTGATTAAATTTTAATATTTAATTATACATTAAGCAAGCATAAACTCCAAACCAAGCGTAATAGTATCAAGCGTAATTGTAGATTTTGAATCCGTGATCTTCTAATCACAAATTCACCTATTATATAAATCCGACTATTCATTATGAAACGAACATACCAATTTTGCATATATAAAAGTTCGATGTTAAGGCCAAAACTTTTTTGAGGTAAATTTCTTTGTGGATAAATGTAAAAAAAAAAAAAAAAAAAAAAAAAGAAGACAACTAAACAATACTCCAATATAACATAAAACATTAATATAAAAGAAAATTTACTCTTTTTTCTTTTTGTTCCTTTAATTAAGTGATCTGGTTATCATTTTAGAACTATATTTAGACATTGTATTATATTAAACCCACAATTAAAATTTTTACAAAAATGATCCTTAGTCTTTGGAATTGCTATCGTGACAATATGATAGCATGTTGTAGATGAAAGATGAATATCTACGTGAGGATCATTTTATGATCATAACTAATCTTAGATTATATTTGTTCCATAACTAAAATAATTTGTCATAACTGATCCTATTCAAATAGTATCCCCTTGTCATATTTGCAATTTCTAACTTGTTATCATATTGCATGCCAACAACTCTGGACCATGGTAATTATTTTTGCCAAATATTTTAATTGTAAAATTAATGTAATACAAAATTTAATTATAATTCTAAAACAAATAAAATTAGACCCGGGACTAATAAAATATTTTTTTCTAAAATAAAAATAAAAATAAAAAAGTAGACAGCCATTCAATAATTTCTGTCGATACATACATACAATATATGTTATATGTATATACACGTGTTCCATTAAAGGGCAGTTGCGTGTTTTCACCTAGATATGATATATACATACATTAGTAATTAATAATAAAAAAATGAAATATATGGTAGAAGATGATGAGAACTTAATGGCAATAGTACTATAAATACTTGGCAAGATGATGCTATTGCTGCTGCTATATAGATAAAAATCTTCTGCTTCTTCTTCTTCTTCTTCTGTCTGCAAATTAAAAAAGGATGTATTGACTGGTAGTTGTGTAATATGAAATAGATATGGGAGAAGAAGAAGGAGGAGGATGGAGAAAGGGGCCATGGACGGCTGAGGAGGACAGAGTGCTGATTGAGTATGTCAAAGTTCATGGCGAAGGCCGATGGAACAATGTCTCCACCCACCTTCCACCTGGTAGTTAATCAATTAATTAACTCTGTCCTAAATTAGAATGAACAAATGAACGATGAATTTAATTTTTGTAATATAATTTAGGGCTGAAAAGGAATGGGAAGAGTTGCAGGCTGAGATGGGTGAATTATTTGAGACCAGACCTTAAGAGAGGACACATCACTCCCCACGAAGAAAACCTCATTCTTCACCTGCATGCCAGATGGGGAAACAGGTCCTCTCTCTCTCTCTCTCAAGGAATTGATGATCTTTATTTCTTGAATTTTGATCTTGATATTTTATTTGAACAATATATTTTGATGCTATATTTTGTGTGAAATAAAAAATCATAAAGATTGAATAGACAAATTTTTTTGAAAAAAAAAATTAAATTGAAAAGAATGCTATAAAGTAAATATATATCGGGATCATTGTAGACATGACAAACCAATCTGGTTAAGTCGAGTTTGGGTCAGTTATAAACGAATTAGAAAAATTTTGATCTAAAATTTTTAAATCTTAATTTAAACTTACAATTTTTACTGGCAATTTTCAAATACATAATATATATATATTAAAGTAAAAACTATTTATCTATATCATGAAACCAATATTCAATAGTTGAATTAAGAAAACATTACAAGTATAGTACACAACAAAAACATACTTTGGAATTTGCTTTTCAATCTATTGAAAGAAAAAATTCAAATTCTTTTGTGTAACCTTTAATTTTGTAGGATTTTAGCTTAAATTTTATTTTATATTTTTATTTTTATAAAATAACTCATAAATATTTGAGTTGGATTGATAAAATTTAAAAAAATATTTAAATTTGAAGTAATATTAATTAAACATGTTATATGAGTTATTTTTAAGTTGAAATTTTTGATCTAAACTTACTTATTTAATTAAATGGGTTAAGTCAAAAATTTCAATTCAAACCCAACTATTTCAAGTTAATTTTTGCCTGTTCCAAGAAAAATATATCTTTTTGTTTTTATGGATTTTAAAAAATGATAATATTGAATAATGAAAAAAAAAATTATCTATATGTTATAATTTGTTGTATATTTTTTTTCGAATTAGCATTGAGAGAGGAATTTGTGGTTTTTATTTATTACATTTAGGTGGTCTACAATTGCTCGAAGTCTTCCAGGAAGAACAGACAACGAAATCAAAAATTATTGGCGAACACATTTCAAGAAGAAAGGGAAGTACCCATCTCAAAGTCCAGAGAAAACACAGGTGCGCTTAATGAGGCGACAACAATTTCAAGCGATGCAGCAGCAACAACAACAACAACAACAAACGGATATGAAAAGGATGATGTTATTGCTCGATGAGAGTGAAGAAAATGTGTCAACTTTCACGCATTCGAGACAAGAAATCATTCATCCGAGTGTTCAAGACAATCAAGGGTACTTTTGCTCGGATATTGAAGAGTATAGGCCTATCCCCGTGTCCTCGTCGAGCGAGGATATGATCTTATGGGATGGCTTGTGGAACTTGGAAGATTTGCAAGGAAATCTAACGGGAAGAGCTAATTATCAACAAACTATAGCCTCGACTCTCTTCTTTTGAATTGAAGTAGATGTTTAGGCACCTCAAAATAATTCCAAGTTTGATGGTTTTGGAAGGTGTACTAACACCCCGAGAGCCGAATACTTTGATTGTACTAAATAGTATGCAACTAGATGATATAATCACTTTCTCGAGCGAAAATCAAAGTAATAAAAAGTAAATTGTATAATATTATGTGTGTTTTACTAAGAAATCATTATTTTCACCGGTAGTTTAAAATGAGATCTATAATTATAATCACTTTCTCGAGCGAAAATCAAAGTAATATAAGATAAATTGTATAATATTTCGTGTGTTTTACTAAAAAAATCATTATTTTCACCCGTAGTTTAAAATAAGATCTATAGTTATGATCACTTTTTCGAGCGAAAATCAAAGTAATACAAAGTAAATTGTATAAGATTCAGTGTGTTTTACTAATAAATCACTATTTTCACCGGTAGTTTAAAATGAGATCTATCTGTATTTTGAAACAATTTATGCAAAAATACCCATAACTTAGAAGTTAACGAAGCATGTCTCAAACGCTTGAACTACAATTGCAATTGTATATTTCACTCCCACCCATCCCAAACAAACAAAATATGAATATTTTCATCCGTCGAGGTTAGACGGCAACTTCATGCATCAATTAAAGACAGGCTTCAAGGCGCAACAGATATATATATATATATATATATATATACAGCAATCAAACGAAGGACAGCCGGCAATACAACAGATATATATATATATATATATACACACATAAAGCAATGAGAGGCGCATACGATGTTGAAATATCATTAGGAGGAGCATAGCATATATTGATTCTTCTTCCTCGATTACTCTCACACCAAATAAATCTAAGCCACTGAACTAAATAGGTTCCGGAGTAGTAAATCAAAGACCTGTTTGTCGCTAGTAAAAAACACTGATCATAGGGCAGAGCTTACTGGATCGAGCAAAAGCAGAATGTGAAGTATTACCCGATCAAATGAACTGCTGCATTTTCCATTTGGATCAGACAACCTCCCAAGTATTCTGGAAATCTCCGGTGGTGTGTGAGTTTTAAATGAGCACAGAAATATAAGTACAAGAGATAGTAATACGGCGGGGGAGTAGAGCTGACCAAAGTCTGCAACTTCAACCGGGCATTCCAGCATCGGGCGTGAGGTTGAAATTACTTTCCAAGAGAGATTGAACTTGAGCAAGAGAAGTCACTTTGTAATCGGGTTTCAATTCTACATTCTGGTATTCTGGAGAATCGTACCTTCCTGTCTCGTCTAGCAAGCACGCAAATGCTCCTGCTCTTTTCCCGCACGCTACCTGCAAGAATAGAATGTACAAACAAATCAGTAATGCTATTATTCCTGTAAATCGGACTTGGATTGTCGTTTTGGTCGTAATTCCTATCAAAAGCATAGACGAGATAAAAAACAAAGAAATAAATGTTTTATGGAAAGAGTCGACTAACATCATCCTTGAGACTATCCCCAATCATCACGACCTCCCCTGGCTCCACTCCCCAGCTCGAACAGATATGTAGCAAGGGGGCTGGGTCAGGTTTATAAGGTCGAAACTCTCGGCTTAATGCGGGAAAAAATATCATCTACAGCGAGAAAAACACAAAAAGTCAAAAAAATGAGAGACCTCGGTAAACAAAACTAGCATCCCTACAGGTTCACCCGGCCTTACCCCCGAGCGCTGATGAAACAAGTCAACAGCTTCCTTCACGTTTCTAGTGATCAATCCTCTTCTGAAAATGAGGACCAAGGAAAACATTTTGATAGTCAATGACATGCAAGAGAACCCATTAACACCAAATTAAGAAACTTTATTCAAAAGCATCCTCCATCGTATTCAGAGCATCAAAGAAGGATTGATTAATTTCAACTTAAGCATACATTTCTATATAATAAAGATATACATTAGTAAAAGAGTTGGGGTTTTGAATCCAATGGGAGTGGATAATAAATTTATTTCACCCGCCAAAATTAACATGCTCCAGGTCCAATAATAATGAACTTTTTATGGCATAATATGACTTAAAGAGCTTATAGAAACAGGCCGTCAGACACATAATCAGATAAAAAGAAATCTCATCAACATATCCTTCAGATGCTTAAGCAACTGTAACCAAGTACTTAACGAAAGATTGGTGACTTTTGTCTATATCCATATATCTCTACTTGCATCTATATAGCATTAGAATTTTGATCTCTTCTAATTTGCAACCTGAATATCATGGCGTTTAAGAAGTGTTCCAGATTAATAATACATTTATACTCTTTTTACCCAATGCTAACGGCTAAAGGCTTTTCATACTAAATATCAAATGTTCTAATAACATGTTCGAAGAATGGCTGATTTTCTGTTGTTAAACTGAATAAAATGTGACAGTGTCTAGGGAGAGACATTAGAATGATAAAATCGAAATAAACTGTTATCCTAATGTTACTTTGATTTTAATAATACAAAATGGGAAACAATATAGTATGAAAAAACTCTAGAGATACCATTAATGGGAAAAAAATGTTATTCTTCATTCCCCTCAAGTTATGTATAGGTAATAGAAGAACAATGGTTCAAGCGTCCTGGAAAATTTTAAATTTGACATAGAAAAAGAGTGACAATTGAGAAAAGGACAAAGTGTGGAAAAAATTGTAGTGAAATAGAACATACCCAAAGAAAACAAATCCCGAATAAGAACATAGATACTCATTAGGGTAAATAACCTGTTATTGTCTGAAACACAAAAAACAGTAACAAGTAGTAGGACTTGCGTTAAAATAAAATGTTTTCAAACAAGGCAGTGTTGGGTTAGAAGCTTCACGGTGGGATGAACCAAGAAAAAATAAATACTCTAGTTACATAAACACAATATATTTGACTACAGGGGTAAGAGAAAAACCCTTGAAAGGAGTCGATAAAATTGTCAGCCGGTAGAGTAAGCCCAGTAGATAGTAAAGTGGAGATTGGAGTCACATTGCTAGAGGTTGAGCAGGGAACAAAGACAAAGACATAAACTGATGAATGTGAATTGCAAACATGATGTTGAAAGAGCTTAAGATTCCTTTTGTTGCCTAGTGGCTGCAACTTATCAAACTATTATAGTAGCAATCACTTGTAATCACAGTGCTGTTTCTATGACCAATAGAAATTTGAGGGTAGTGAGCAATGGCTACAGAGGTAGATGACTATACATGAAAAAAAAAAAATTGATGTGAAACCTATCGACCCGTTTTCTTATTAAACTCAATAAAAGGGGTGCAATCATATAGTTATAACAATAAACAAGCAAATGATCTCTCAGACTCTTTATTGAGTCTGTTTCATCTTATTTTGATGATTTCAATTTTCATAATTTATTTTAACAATACTAAATGAACAAGATGTATATATATATATATATATATATATAGATATATATAAGCAACATCAAAGATAATGGTGCAATATCCCTAATGTTTGCCCCAAAGGCATATTAATGAGATTTGCAATCTCAATGAAATTCATTCAATAACTATTTTAAAGCAGCTGCACATGTAATAACTATCATTGACTATGTATAATGATAGGTTGATGGTCGTCATGCCAGAATCCAGATGACTTGATAATAATATCACAATGTTTTAAGTCACAAATATTTACATACACTAACAGTTATTTTAAATTTGTTGCCTGTCAGTCTTTCATAGAAAAAGAAACTACAATTTTACATTCTTCTCCCTAATAATTTATATTATATGCGCATATAGAAAATAAACAGGATACATTCAAAAAGATAGTAGAGAAGGGGTGATGGGGGGGGGGGGGAGGGGGGCAATAGGTAACTGAATAAAATCATCCACCTTTCAGCTTCTACATAATGAAACAAAACCGGAGTGTATCAGACAAAAACACATGGTACGTAATAATATTAGAATGTAAAAGCTAGTGCAACAGAAACATTACACATAACATAAACAATCATAAACTGACTAGTAAATCATTACCTAATCTTCCTTGACTCAAGAAACTCATAGAGTTTAGAAGCACCTGCAGCAAAATTGGCTTAGATTTTAAAAAGCAGCACTAACACAACATCTTTGAATTCATGAGTGTTTCGAACCGAAAGATAAATCTACGAGCGGTGAACAAAACAAAAGGTTCTAAGAAAGCACAAAAAGGTCATAAGTTTTATTGCTTGGCCTCAAAACACGAAGTAAATATATGATTTGAAAGATAAATTAACTTCAAGAACTCATAAAAAACTGGAGGTAATTAATGTTAATTTTTGTTTGATATAATGGTCCGAATCAGCATATAAAAAAAAAAAAAAAATCTGACTTGAAAATAGCTAAATTTTAATCGAACAATCACCCATCTAAAGAGCTTCTGATTCCCCATTCAATAACAGAAACCTATATTATATTGACCAAACTTCAAAACTGTATCTCTCATGCGAATAGGTGTAAAAATAATAATAATAAATTAAAAATAAACGCATCCAGGAAACCGAAATGAAAGTAGTCAACATATAACAACAATTATAATACATATAAACCCTCTTCTCCACAAACCAAAACATTATTTAGCTACATGCTTGTACTAATTGCTCCAGTATTCTGTTGTTAATTTAGTATGATCGAAACAATATAATATGGATTACGAGATTTAAAGCGTAAGATCATATAATCCAAACAATATCAAACCTAAATTCAAAATGGATCAAGAGAACTACACCCCTCTCAGGGTTCTAGGGACACCACATTCTTTAGATTACAATATTCATGGCCACATACAGAACAAGCAACAAATCAAACAACTCAAACTCTAGGGTTTATACTCAAATTTCATTTTTATTATTTGACAGATTGATCCAAATTTGTGTTAAACCAGAAAAGAATTCAATTATAACTTCTAAAAGTATTTATACGATCAATTATCCTCATTTCGATTCTATATTAAGGTATTCTAAAAGTTCCCCAACATGTTCAAAGATGTCTGGTTTATCCTATTGTTCCCTCACCTTGAGCTAATTAATATTGCTAAATTTTACCCAACTTTGGTGGACCTGGGCGAGGCAAGCTACAATTACTCATTCATTTCAGCATCAGTTTAATTCAAAATTCGGAGAAGAAACCTAACCAGGCATAATCTGGAGGCGATCGGAGCCCTGCTTCTCGAAATCGGCGATAATCTGGTAGGCTCGCGCCTGTTCGTCGGGGCTCCACGACTCAATGTGGTGCAAAATGTCAATCCCCGATGGATTATCCGATTTAATCCTGGCATACTCGCGCTCGCCGAGAACTGCTCTGTACATTGCCTGGAAGTCAATGACGGGCACCGTCAGTGTGCCGTCCATGTCGAAGACAACCCCTCGCAGGCAGGGCTTGGATGAGGAGGAGGAGACGGCCATTGTTATTGAGGAGAATGCCCTCGATCTGGAAGGATGAAAGACTAGAAGGGCCCTGAGTGGGAGTGGGATTTGCATCACTTAATAGAAGAAAGCAACGGCGTTGGTGGAGGGGGGAAGAAGATGATGAGCCAAGAAAGATTCCATAATTAGGTCGGGAATCTTCTCTTTAGCTAAATTTTAAAGTTGAAATGCTTGTCTGGAAAACCTTTTTCTTTCCTCAGGTTGTGTGATTGTCAGTCAGAATAACACAACACAAATGAGGCAAAGACTACGTAGAATTGAATTGTGCAGGATGATGGGATGGTGTGGTGTGGTGTGGTGTGGTGCTGTGCAGGACATGTATGTATGTTTTTGTCCTATTTCGGTGCAGTTTAATCAAAATGCCAAAATGTGTATCAAACTTGCATTCTAATTTTGGTGCAAAATTTTTTAATAGATCTGTAGGATTGTTCACTCACCTAATTCTTTTTACACGATTTTAATATATATTTTATTATTTCATGATAATATTCAATATAAAATATTATTTTTTTTATAAATTATACTATTTTCTAAACAAACAAACAAGTGTATGATAAAATTATAATAAATGTATTATTTAATTTGATTATATAATCATATTATAAAATAAAGATTATAAATTTTATTATAAAACTAATAATAGTTTACATATTAATAAAAGATAAAATAGTTTTTTAATATTAATAATATCTTACTATTATTAATATTCATTCTCTTTCAATTCAAAGCATAGTTTTACTATTTTGTCCATTAGAAGCATTAATTTATAATTTTAGTAATTTTTTTATATATTAATACTAAAATATTCTAATATTTATTTAAATTACAAATATATCATTACATGTATAATTAATATATATATAACGTTATAAGGATAAAAATATCAAAATTTCTTATACACTTTCATTGATCAATAAAAATTATATTATTTTTTAATTTATTACAAAACTCTGAAATGTACGTTGGATGGAATACTACGTATAAGAGAATGATAAATAATTTTGTATTATAGTATTATTATACCGAGTTTACATTATTCTGAGTTATAATTGTTGATGTATTTTTTCAACAAACAAAAAGTAAAATTAAAAAATATGGAAATATCCTCAAATTTGATTAATTAGTGCCTGAAATTAGAAATCTCTAAACATTGTACGGTACAGAAAATAAACTGGAAGGTAAAATACTGGAAATTAAAGTGGTGATCCCCGAATCTCTTGACTTTGCTGTCGTTTGAAGATGATTGAAGATGATTGTCAGTTGCAAATTTTAATCCTTAAATACTCTTAAAAAACGGTACTGGAAACCGTCGCCCGAACAGTTACAACGCCTCTTTTTCAACCGTCTGCTAACCCTTCTCCTACTGACACGTGCCCTAAGCCGACCGAATTATCATTCTCACTCACTCTCAACAGTATCTCTAATTAGTGCCTGAGATTAGAAATTTCTAAACACTGTACGGTACAGAAAATAAACTGGAAGGTAAAATACTGGAAATTAAAGTGGTGATCCCCGAATCTCTTGACTTTGCTGTCGTTTGAAGATGATTGAAGATGATTGTCAATTGCAAATTTTAATCTTTAAATACTCTTCAGAAACGGTACTGAAAACCGTCGCCCGAACGGTTACAACGCCTCTTTTTCAACCGTCTGCTAACCCTTCTCCTACTGACACGTGCCCTCAGCCGACCGAATTATCATTCTCACTCACTCTCAACAGTATCCGACTCTTTGGACCGACCGTGGACCTTCCGCCTTTTTGGCTCAAACGCAGCTCTTCTGCCCTGTTGGTCCGACCGCAAATCTTCCGTCCTTTTTGGACCGACAGCAGTCCTTACACCTTATTGGCCCGACTACAAACCTTCCGTTTTTTTGGACCGACCCCAGATCTTATACCTTGTTGGTCCGACTACAAACCTTCTGCCTCTTTGGTCTAGCCACAAACCTCTCGAATTGCAGACCACCCGACTTGTTTGGTCCAGCCGCAAACCTCCCAACTTACAGACCATCCGACTTGTTGGTCCAGTCGCAAACCTCCCGACTTACAGACCATCTGACTTGTTGGTCCAGTCGCAAACCTCCCGACTTACAGACTATCCGACTTATTGGTCCAGTCGCAAACCTCCCGACTTACAGACCATCTGACTTGTTGGTCCAGCCGCAAACCTCCCGACCTGCGAACTTTCCGACCTGCGGACCTTCCGACCTGTGGAGCTTCCGACCTGCGGACCTTCCGACATGCGGTTTCCGACTTACGGACTTTCTGATCTGCGGACCTTCCGACCCGCTATTTCCTTAGAAATATATCTACTTTACCTGAGTTCCCCGCAATGCCCCTCGACCAGTTCGATCATCTCAATTGTTAGGCCCATTTTTCTTTTTACCTTGGGTTTTTTAACGTAATTCTAAATTTCATACGTAACAACTTGCCCGCTGCCATTGGACTTCTAAACGCCATTTCTCAATCGCTGTTTGGAAGTTCATAAACCACAATCCCACTGAGGAATTGCCTCTGCAACTGCGATCAGTTATTGCAACACATTGTGTCACAAAACTCCTTTCTTCAAAATCAGCCTTTGCTAATCGCAATCTCTGTGACTCAAACCATGACAAATCAATATGTTCCTGCACTTCTCTTCGACGGATCAACCCCCGAAACAGCTTTTGTAGCGAAGAAAATGCTTACTCCAACCATTCGCCCCTATTGCACTACCCCTGAAGACTCCAACCGAATGAGAGAGGTCTTGGAGGCAAGAAATCTACTCGCTATCAACAATCCCAACTACAACGCTATCCGTCTTCAAGATAACATCAAAACTCATCTGACGGATCCCAAGGATCCATATCGCACCTGGTACAAAAGGGTAGCAGAACATTTCCAGGATCAAGGGAAGAATCAACAAATCGACCAGGCCATACTCCTATCTACTCTCCCATGTCATTTACATGAGAAAGTTCTTCTAGCAATGGCGGCGTTTTGGTACCTTGAGATTTGCACTTTCCTTCTTCCAACAGCCCCCATTGGCCCCACCCTCATGGATGTGGCCATGATCGCTCATCTGCCAACCGTAGGGGAAGACCCTATAATGGGTACCCTAGACGGACAAGAGCCCAGTGCAGACCATCCAGGTTGGTCTCTGGCTAGCATTAAGGAATGGGGCTGGACAAAATTTTTAACCGATCAACAAGGAGCAGACGGTGCCCCTGTCACCGACCGCGAGCACACTGCTTTCCTGCTTTTTTGGCTCTATAAGTATTTCATCATTTCTCCTTCGAAGTGTGTTCTTCCCTCTCAGCTTGATTTGGCCATACATATAGCCTCTGGCTGTTTCTTTTCTCTGGGTACTCTTTTCCTTGCCAATCTGTTTGAAGGGTTATCCAGGGTTAGCACCCGCCTTACAGATAAGGACGGTAAAAAATTAGACACCGCTGCCTCGGGTCCTTTTTGGTTCCTGGAACTATAGTTCCGTCTCCATTTTCCCGATGCTTTCCAACTCGGTCATCCTCTCGTTGCCCCCTCACTTGAGAAGTCTCTAGGAATAGCCCTTAACCGACTGTGCTTAGGTCGTAATAATCTCCAAGCATCTGATCCGATCATAACTGCCATTCTAGCAGATGATCGTAACAACTACGGATTCTATATGTACCGAAAATACATAGGTTATGCGTCCAACTTGTTTTGGCCATTCCCTGTATCCTCACCTTTGTCCGAACCAGACTCACTTCCACATCCAACTTACTCTTTCTCCTGGGATGTTGCTCTTAAGCCCAGGTCCCTATTTACTAGCAAGAAAATTGATAAGAAAGGTCCCAAAGTTTTATATACCTTCAGCTACCAGCCTCAATTTTTGGCATGTCAATTCGGATGTCAACAAGGCTTACCTGGTCCCATTGCTCATCCACATTTAATAATTCAAAGTCCGTATGGGAGAGCCATTCCTAATCTGATTGTCCCGTACGTATCCCAGCTCACTAATTACATAACTTCCAACTCCTATATTCCCTTCCGAACTTCTCCAACTTCAGTTGAATCCTTTCGTGAGTGGTGGTCGGTTACCTGGGCCTTAATTGCTCCTGACAAAGATCGCCTGTTGGGCATTCTTCTGCCCCAGCTTACAGTGGTGTTGGGGGTGACCCCATTGATCAATACCCGAAGGAAACTAATCGTTCAAGGCACTGGATCGAGCACTCCGCAGAGAAAAAGAAAAGCTCCTCAGACTCAAGTTGTTCCCCTCTCTGGAAACAATCAACCGACCTTGATAGACTGCCCATCAGGTCGGGCACCTGTGAAGACCTGACCTCGTCCAGGCATTGTTCCAATAATCTTGATTCAATACAACTTCTATACTTAACATCTTATTAACCATCATTCTGAATTTCAGGTCTGACTTCGGCCAGAGCGACCGCCCAAACTACTTCCACTCCAAACAAATCAGCAGAGCCACCAACCGACCGACTCCATGAAGCAGAACCCCCGACCCAACGACGAGCGTTGGTGAGAGCGTCTTCACCAGCCGAACCAGCAACAACAAGGGTCTCATCCCGCAGTGAGTCGACTGCTTCAGAGATGGGTAGATTACCTTATGTCGCTTCAGACCCATCTCTGCCTAATATGGCGCCAATGGCCACGCTTGCATCCCCTTCTACTGCAATCGCCACTGGTGTGATCGCTTCAAAAGATAAAGATATCTCTGATGCGGCCCTTCAAATTGCTCCCGACGAACCAGCCGCGGTCGCCCCAGACGCTCCTGACCAAACAGCCGAGGCCGCCCCAGACGTGCCCGACGAAGGAGCAGCCAACGAGAGGGCAGCCGTCCTGGGGATAGCCGACCTGGGAGCAGCAGACCCAAGAGCAGCAGAACCTCTACCAGAAGCAGACAGACGGGAAGGAGAACATGTACCTGCTCAATCAAGGGGATTCTTACAAGAATTACAAGAGATACCCTCCTCTGACTCAGAGACTTCTGTTAATCTGGTAAACACTCGAGAATCCTTCTTCCCTACTATAGGCTAGTTAGTATTAACATGATCGTTAACACAATATATCTCCATCATTCAGGGACCTAGATTCAAACCTCAACGTCCACTTGAAGCAGCCGACGAATCGGTTATCGCAGTACCAGTCACTCATCCTTCTAGACCTATGGCCGTTCTGGCACCTTCGGTGACCACAATCCGTCCAGAAGTGAGTACAATTTCCACCATCAAATTTCAATATTCGCACTTCATTTGATCTAAAATAAACATCCTTTCCTGCAGGGA